ATCCACCAGTTATCAGGAAAAGACAAATAAAGCCACAATGAGATGCCACTATACACTAATTAGAATGACTGAAGTGAAAATGATTGACAATATTAAGTTTTGGTGATAATTTAGCATAATTGAAACCCCTATGGTGGGAACACAATGCTTCTTTGGAAGAGTTTGGTAGTATCTTAAAAAATTAAACATATGCTGATCATATGAACCTGCAATCTCACTCTCAGATATTTATCCAAAAGAAATGAAAATGTGTGTCCACCTAAAGACCTATATCTGAATATTCATGGCTACATTATCCATAATAGCCCAAATGTGAAAACAACCCTATTTTTCCATCAACTGATGAAAGAATAAAAAAATATGGTATATTAATATTATGTCATACTATTCTACAATGAAATGGAACAAGATATTAATATAGACAACATAGATAAGTCTTAAAAACATGCTAAGTAGAAAGTCAAACACAGAGACTATATACTGTATGGTCCCATGTATATAAATTCTAGAAAAGGCAAACCATAGTGAGAAAAGAGTACCAGTTGTTGTCTGGGATCAAGGCTTGGGAGAGAGGATTAATTGGAAAGGAGCATAAGGAAACTTAAGGGTGATGGAACTTTTCCATATCTTGATTGTGGTGGAAGTTACACAACTGTATACAATTACCAAAATTCATCAAACTTTACATTTAAAATGAGTGGATTTTATTGTATGTAAATTAAACTTCAAAAAAGAAAAAAAGTCAGTGAAAAAGGAATTGAGTCTTTAGGTTTATTTCTGAGAACATAAATTGACTGGGTGTGGGATCAGGTGAGCAGTTCAAAACAAAATTATTACTCCAAAGTAAAATTTCATACTCATCCCCTTCAATGTAGAGTATTGGGTCTTTATACAACTCTAACCTCAGAACTTAGAGCTGTACACACACCTACGAAGTAATTAATGTCCAATTTATGTCAAAAGCATGATACCTCGAAAATTAAAAACTTACATTACATGGGCACTTAAAATTGAGATTACTAAAAATATGTGGTACTACTTCAAAACTGGTCAAATTCTAAAATGTGATTTTACCACAGAAATAACACTCTTGGTAGCCATACTGTCAGCTTTTTCTAACGTCAGGTCTTCAAAGTAAATTTATTATTTTCATGTGTAAATTCATGTCATTTACAATTATGCTTAACTATTTAAGGGCATATGGGAAAATTTTAAAAGAGGAAGCTTACAGCAAAGTCAAATATGAGTTTTAAAAGCATTCATATGATTTAGTTCACATATCTGAATTTCAATAGTTTAGTTAGCCCTAGAGATTTAAAAATGTTTCAATTGTACATTTATCAACAGTTAAAATCAAACATGACATTCACATCTACTGTATAGCTCTAGGCATCTGTGCAGATACACACGTAGGGATATTGATGTCATTAAAGAGTGAGACATCATATTTATTGACATGGGAAATTTCTAAGATACATTAATATGTTGGTACAGAACACCTCTGGAAGGATCTACAAGACATTAGAAACTGTGTTTGCCTCTAGATGCAAGAATTGGAGTCTGAGCATTAAAGATAGATTGACTTTTTCACTCTCTGTATTTTTGTGCTGTTTCACCTTTTTAATTAACCACACAGAAGTATTACCTTAAAAGTAAATACAGTTGACCCTTGAACAACACAGGTTTGAAATGCGCAGGTCCACTCTTAGGCGAAATGCTTTTCAATAAATAAATACTACAGTACTACATGATCTGTGGATGGCTGAGTCTGGGATGTGTAACTGCAATTACGGAGGACCGACTGTAAAGCTCTGTAAGGATTTTTGACTGTGCAGGGTGGGGAGTAAGGGTTGGTGCCCCTAATCCTCCACGTTGTTCAAAGGTATACACTTATATCAATACAAAAAATCACTAGGTTTTAGAAAACGTATCAGTTCAGCTAGAATAGGTGGGTTTCTTGAGAGCAGTGGACTGACTGCCTTTATTTAGTACTCTCCTTGCCCAGTAAGATTTTATATATATTAAGTGCTCTGCAGACATGACACTTTTCTAAAACAATGTTACACTTGATTCAAAGTATTTTATATATTTTTAGTAGAATTTTCAAAAAAATACCCAAAATCATAACTTCAGAAAAGCACAAAACTTCAAATGTATTCCAAATTTGATCCTAATTTTACAACATGGCATAATGAAATAAATACTAGATAAATAAACACAATTCCATCTCCAGTCTTGGGAAAATAAATCTCTTCACTTTTCTGGACTTATTTTCAAATCTAGACAATAATGATGGCAGTGCATATATGCCAGTGAGGTTAGACTATATACATTTTAGATATTAAAGAGTTTGGACAGGTAAAACTCTCCACAATTTCTTTTTGTTTTTAAAACAGCTTTATCGTGATATAATTCACATACCACAGAATTTATCTATTTAAATTGGAGAATTCGATGATTTTAGTATATTCAAACTTTCACAATCAATTCTAGAACATCCTCATCATCACCCACTCCCCCCAAAACCCATCTTGCAAGCAGTTATTTCCCTTCTCCTTCCTCAACCTCCCCTCCCTGCCAGCCTTTGGCAACCATGAGTCTACTTTGTGTTTCTATATATTACAGATTTGCCTATTTGGAACACTTTATACAAACTGAATCATGTAATACATGGTCTTTTGTGACTGGTCTCTTTCACATAGCATGTTTTCAAACTTCACATTGTAATATGTATCAGCACTTCATTTCTTATTATTGCCAATATTTCGTTGTATTGAAATGCCACATTTTGTATATCCATTCATCAGTTGATGGGCATTTGAGTTGTTTCCACTTTTAGGCGATTGTGAATAATGCCACTATGGACATTTGTTTACAAGTTTTTGTGTGGGTGTGTCTTCATTTCTCTTGGGTATACACCTGGGAGTGGACTTGCTGGATCATGTGGTAACTATGTTTAACCATGTGAGGAACCAACAGTCTTTTTCCATAGTGGCTGACCCATGTTACATTCCTACCAACAGGTTATGAGGGTTCCAATTTCTTCACATCCTCACCACACACTTCAAGTTTTTTTGATTCTAGCCATTTTATTTGTTGTGGAGTGGCATCTCTTTGTGGTTTTGATTTGCATTTTTCTGATGACTAATTATGTTGAGAATGTTTTCATCCACTTGTTGGCCATTTGTATGTCTTCTCTGAAGAAATATCTATTCAGATATTTTACCCACTTTTGTCTTTTTATTATTGAGTTGTAAGTGTTCTTTATATGAGTCCCTCTAGATATAAGCCCCTTTATTACATTTATGATTTGCAAATAGTTTCTCCCATTTTGTGGTTGTCTCTTCATTTTCTTGATGATGTCCCCTGAAACACAAATGTTTCTGGTTTTGATGAAGTTCAATTTATTTTTTCTTGTTGCCTGAGTTTTTGGTGTCATATCTAAGAAACCCTTGCCTAAGTCAAAGTCACAAAGCTTTATGTCAATGTTTTCTTCTAAGAGTTTTATAGTTTTAGATCTGACATTTAGGTCTTTGACCCATTTTTGTGTGTTTTTTTATATTGTATGAGGTCGAGATCAAACTTCATTCTTTTGCATGTGGATATTCAGTTGTACCAGTAGAATTTGCTCAAAGACTATTGTTTCCCGATTGAATTGTCCTGGCACCCTGGTTGAAAATCAACTGAACATAAATGTGAGGACATATTTCTGGACCTTCAGTTCTATCCCACTGATCTATATGTCTACCTTTATGCCATTCAACACATTCTTCATTACTGTAGCTTTGTGGTAAGTTTTGAAATCAGAATCAGGAAGGGCAAGTCCTGTCCTGCCATTTCTTTTTTTTTTTAAGGATCGTTTTGCCTATTCTGTATCCCTTAATTTTCCGTATATATTTTAGAATCAGCTTATTGGTTTCTGCAAAGAAATCAGCCAGAATTGATGGGGATTGCATTGAATATGCAAATTAGTTTGGGGAGTATTGTCATCTTAATATTAAGTCTTCTGATCCACGAACGTGGGATGTCTTTTCATTTATTTAGGTTTTCTTTCATTTCTTTCGACGTTATGTTATAGTTTTCAGAGTAAAAATTTTGTACTTCTATTGTTAAATTTATTCCAAAGTATTTTATTCTTTTTGTTGTAAAAAGAATTCCTTAATTTCATTTAGTATTATTCATTAGAAGGGTATAGAAATACAACTGATGTTTATATATTGATCCTGTATCCTGCAACCTTGCTGAACTCATTTATCAGTTCTAATAGTTTTTAGTGAATTCCTCAGAATTTCATAAACACAAGATCTTGTCATCTGCAAGTAGCAACGGTTTTACTTTTATCTTTCCAATCGGGTTCCCTCTAGACTTTTTGAATGCTAAATAAATAAATGAATAGCTTAATATTTGGAGGTGCTGTAATTGATATTGTATAGATGCACTGTTAAAACAGAAGGGGAAGAAAAAAGTGCTATCGAAGAAAAATTTTAACAGAAAAAGCAATGAATTGAGAGGCAAGAAATCTGGTTCCCATACCACTATTAATTACGTGTATGACCCTGAGCAAGTTCCTAATCCTCTTCTGGTTATACATTCTATTTTCCAAATCTTTTTCCACTTGGCATCCTGTGGACTTCTGGGGATATGTAAGAAGTAGATTTCCTCAGTTTATTCAGCTACCACAACCATGATTTTCACTATATATATTGATCATCAACCTCCTTTTCCATTTTTTTCGTCCATCACAAAACAGAATAAGATTACTGAAACTGGAAGAGCAGCTGAAAGTATCTTCACATTGAAAGCAAATATAACTCTCAGAAAAGCACAACAGAAGATGTTGTGAGAATGCAGGCAATTATAAAGAGTTATCCCTTGGGAACAAGCTGGACTATCAAAAAATGCTTTAGGGGCTTGTGGAAGAAATGAGTAAAAATGAGCAAATGAATGGAGCATTTACTCTAGTAGTGTACTAACATTTTAATGATATAACTTAAGAATAATCAATAAAGATTTTTTTTAATGAAAAAAGTATGTTATAAAAATATACATTATCTGAAGTTTTCACTGCAGAGAATCGTCTTTTAAAACCAAAGTTTTAGGTAACATTTTTTATTACAGTTTTGATTAAAATGTCAAGTGTCTCACAACATATAGAATCACGTTAAATTTTTCTACTATACATTAACTAGATACCTTCCTTCTGCTTCTGCTAATGCCAACAGTACTAGAATACTAAGTTATACTTGAATATTTTAAATTTAATTTCAGGTGTTTTGGAACCTTAGTTTTAATCTCTGACTTAAAGGAAGAGGACTATCCAAACAGGTACCAGAGACGTCTTTTTCCTTATGACACTGTAGGAAACTCAGAGACCATTTTGCTGCATCTTGGAAATGGGTTTCTTCATTTCCAGCTGTTTTATAAGGCTGGACACACTGTTCAGTTTCTTTAATATGTGCTTTAGGGTTACTCAGTTTGTTGGCATCATTTTTTTTGAACTGGGCTGGGCTATGTTTCTGAGAACTCTGCTTCATTTTTTGAGTTGTGGACTTAGCTTTCCCAGACTCTGGGATAATTTCTTCACCAGAGGAATGTTTGTCAAGGCAAACACTCTTCTTCATTACAGTTTTCCGAGTGGTTTGCCCATCAACTTTTCTACTATAATCTAAAGCAGTATTTGGTGGTCCAATTCTAACATTGGAGGTCTTTACTATTGGGTTATTGACAGAATAAGGTATAGAAGTATTTGCTTTATAGTTTTCTGGAAACAGCTGGTTTCCTTTTAGGACTTTACAGTTTCTAGATTCATTTTGCAAATGAATTCCTAGAAAATCTTTTGAAAGATGTGATAGACACTCAGAACTACTATTAGCAATACAGTGTTCTTGTACAGTAAGTAGGGACAATGTTTTCAGATCATCATCTGGTTGTACATTATTCTGAGGATATGATGATTTTATATGTATTCGTTCCTTTAAAGGTAAATCCTGAAGATGTAAATCAGTAATGCCAGAAAGTAGGTGCTCTTCAGGATCAGTCTTTTGAAGATCCCAATCGAACTGTTTATTAATGTTTGTAGTGCACCATTCTGATTCACATGACAATTGCTCTGTAATATTTTTAAAGCTATCAGGGATAGCTGTTTCAAGTTCCGATTTTACACCATGAGCAAAAGTGTTCCCTGGGATAGCTGAAGAATTACTAAAAGAAGTACCTTCCCAGTCAATGGTGCTCAAGTGCAGATCAGCAATTGCAGATATATTAAGGGATGAGGTACTGGGTTGACTAGATTCTGCAATCAGAGACTTACTGACAGCTTTAATTTGCTGCACAGCCAAAGGTCTTGGAGAAGATATTAACTGTTCTTGTGTATTCAAACAGGGAGCATCTTCAGGTAAAAGCAAGGTATTCAATGACACAGTAGATTCCTGTGGTAATGTAGAATCAGGGGAAATTTCCAAATTTAACTTGGAATTCTGCTTAGAAAAGATTTCACATGTGGGTTTTAAAGTCATGTGTGATTGCAAAGTCATCATATCATCTGATTCTGGCAAACTGTTTCCTTTAGACTTAGTTTTCATGCCTGAAAGAAAAAGAAATATATAATACAATTAAAATCTATTTTATTCTCCTAATATGGGTAAACAAATTAAAAAGCTCAGATCAGAAATCTTCTGTATGATCAGTTTTTGCCTTTTGTCTCAGAGCATTCCTGAAAACTGTTATACATAATTATAACAAAATAATTATTAATAAAATATTATAAAATATTATATTTGGAAACAATGTTATAATTGAGTGGCATGTTATAAAATAATGCTGTAAGTTCCCCACTGAGTTCTGGGAAATAAAGAAAATGTATTTATAATCCAAAATATGTTATATATACTAGTTGCTCAATAAGTGGTTATTATAATTACTAACAGTCAGTTAAGTTAGCAGACTCAGAGCAGAATGGTCTATTCTTGGCTTTTAGATTTTAAAGCAAACTGTGTCGAGACAAAGAAGAAAAAGTACAATCCTTACTCTTGATTTTACAGAACTTTCAGCAAAATCTGGACAAGATAGATTCAAATAAGACAGGTCGCTCTTTTGTAATATTTGTGTGTAGCCTAAATAGTTATCAAATGTGATACTTACTTTTTTGTTTCTTGCCTTTAATTTCTGACTGTTGTTTTTGATAAATAGCAACAATCTCAGGATAAGCTGCTTCAAACAATGATTCTTCTTCTATTGTTTGTAAAACCAATTGTCCAGGTTTATCTTCTATAGAGTAATGTTCTGAAGGATTAAAAATACAATAAAACAGCTTTAATTACAGATTTGAAATATTACATTTTTCCAGGTAACTTCAGTTTACCAAGTCAACTAGGTCATTCACAAATGGATAATTGATGCAAATCTTGCTTTATAGCACCGCTATTCTAATAATCTGTTGATACTAATACAGAAGTGATTTTATTCCACCTGGGAAGAGCTGAAAAGAGGTTCCTTTTAAATTAGAACTTTAAATTTCTCTTGCTTCAGAGATGGTAGGAGCAGCTTAGAGACTAGGAAACTTTATTTAGATAAGGCTAGTTTGTTTTAATTTCATATAATAAGTGTAAAATTTCAGATAAAGAATGGAAACAATTTCCTAAAACTTTAACATTGGCTTTCTTTAGTGGTAGCTTCTGAAAAGGACAGAATTGAAATGGTCATCAAAACTATCACTATTTTCCAGATTGTTGTTTCAAAGGTTATCAATCTCTCGAGGACACACCCGGGCTTACTGGACTCACAAGCACCTGATAAGTGAAAATGAGAATGCTTATATGTAAACTTACAATAAGATATGTAAATAGTAGACTAGATTCTTGTATTTATCTTATATGAGGGGAAAACTCCATAAGAAGCCAAACTATAATGAAACTATTCCTTGATGAGTTTAAAGTAGAAACAATGGAAACAAGTGAACTTAGAATTAGTTCTTAGTTAAAGTAGCGTGGGGTACATTTTTTCCCTTAGGGGATGACTCCTACAAGGATAAGTGAAAGTGGGCACCCAATCCTCAGTTCTTAACAAAGGAGACACACTGCCAAACTGGGTTAATGCCGTTGTCTTTCCTGAAAATCTACTACAGTTGGTGGATCTGTTCCTAAACAGTTTTCAAAATTCTTTAGCTATTTTCCGATTATTGCTTAGAACGACTTATCTAATTCTTTATCACTTAATTCTTCAAAGTTACTTACAACTTTCATTTCATTTCAAATCTGTTCTCTCACTCATTCACATGTAATTATACAATCTAATTTCAAAGCCAAATATAAATTAATTTGGTATTATTTTCCACTTTAAATGATCTGTGCTTTCCTTGCCTTCAGTTTTGGAGCTAATTCAGAGTTCACTGTATTTCTGCCTGTAGAAGAGAAGAGTAATCTGACCATTATAAATCCCCATGAAGGGCTTCCCTGGTGGCGCAGTGGTTAAGAATCCGCCTGCCAATGCAGGGGACACGGGTTCAATCCCTGGTCCGGGAAGATCCCACATGCTGTGGAGCAACTAAGCCCGTGCACCACAACTACTGAGCCTGCACTCTAGAGCCCGCAAGCCTCAACTACTGAAGCCCGCATGCCTAGAGCCGGTGCTCCGCAACAAGAGAAGCCACCGCAATGCGAAGCCCGTGCACCACAACGAAGAGTAGCCCCCGCTCGACACAACTAGAGAAAGCCTGCAGGCAGCAACAAAGACCTAACTCAGCTAAAAAAAAAAAAAATCCCATGAAAACTAAACAGAGTAAAGAAAGGAGAGGAAGAGCACCCCTAGGTGCTTTTCAGCAGCCCTGGTTTCTTTAGACCCAGCTATACAATGAAATCCAATGACTAGACCATTTGTAGCAGTATTTTCTTGAGAAATATAAATCAAAACTATTTCCATATTGTTTTCGTAAACATTAATTACAAAAGAAATATCAGTTTAAGACACTGGAATAAAATTACTTAAGTTTTAAATATTTACTATTAGTCAACGGCTGTTTACATAGCACAGGTAAACTATGAAATTAATCCTTGGTGTATGTGATATATTTTCATCTTTATTTTTTATATACATACATATGTTTTACCTACGTATATGATATTTGCTAAACATACATGACCAAATGTTATAAATTCTGCTTAAAGTGTATACATACCAGGCTTTTCCCATTCTATTTCAAAGCAACGAACTCCATTTCTGATTCGGTTTTTAACAATTCTGAAAAAAAAAAAAACTCACTAATGAGGTTTAATTGCATGAGTTATTTGGAAATTTTCAATTTATAGATTGAATAATTCAATTCCCATTAATTTTTATTGTTTTACTAATATTCTAAAAATGTTTTAAGAATTATTGTATGGCTATTCCTTTGACTTGTTATTTAAAAGAGAGAGTTTATAATTGTTAGATCTCATCAGTAGAGTTTTCCTCTTATTATTCAGTGTTCCTCTTTTCCATAATAATGATTTTTGTTTTAAAGTCTTTTTTGCTTCTGTTAATTTTGCTACATCACTTTGGTAAATATTTGCCTGGTTAAATCTTTTAAATCTCTTTATTTTCAAACTTAACATAGTCTTATTGTGCACATGACCTATAAAGCAGACTACTGTTGAATTTTGTTTACTCATCTGATATAATGTCTTTTAATAATGAGCTTAATCTACTTACATTTATTATGATTACTGATACAGTTGGATTCATTCATACATCTTATTTTGTGTTTTTGGTTATTAAGATTTTCTATGCTATTTCCACCTTTCACCTTCCTGTATTCTTCCGGTTTGATAGGTTTACTTTCTTATTTTATGTATTGGTTTTAAAGACAGAGATTGTATTTCTAATGTTTTAGTGGTTTCCCTTAACTGTTTACATGCATACTTTGGGAGTTTTAGTTTATTATCATCATCATATACTGACCATCAAGCATTATTAAGATATTTATATACAAATTTTTTCCATTCCATTTATTAAATTAGCTAAACATGTTTTATCAGTTTGTATGCTGGCCACTGTTAGTTGTTATCCACATCTTCCCCCTGAGTTCATTTTCCTTCTTGCTGAAGTCATCCTTTAACAGTGCTTTTGATGAGGGTCTGTGAATGGAAAACTCTTAGTCTTCATATGTCTGAAAATGCCTTGCCAACCAGTGAATAATTTTAATGATGTCTGGGTTGCCAATTATTTTTAGTCAAAGCTTTGAAATATTACTCCATCATCTTCTGGAATTTACTATTGTCGTGAAAGATGTATGCTAGCAGACTGTCACTCCTTTGTAGCTTATCTTTTTTCTTTAATACTTTCCCCCAAACTTTTTATTTTGAAAAGTTTCAAGAAGAGTACAATGAATAATCATATACCCTTCACTGAGAGCCACCAATTCTCTGTTTCAGTCCCTCCATTCACTTTACATTTCTGTCCCCTTTCTGGTCCACGGAAATAATTATCTAGTTAATCTATATCTTTTTATATTTATTTCTTTTAATAGTCTATTATTACTATATGTTTGAGGCAGAGAAGTGTGTCAGAGCATGAACTTACTATGTTATCTTGACTGTAAGCCCTGAATAAGCTTTTAATATTCCAGTAGACCTTTCCTCCATTTTTATAAAACAAAGAGATATATATCCCACTATTGAAGATACTAAGAAGAATATTTTAGATAAGATATTCCAATGAAAACACAGGGACTTATTCATACAATTCTTTATATTACCGAAGTGGCTGTAGTTGATTAGAGTTCCTTGTACCGAGCTTTCTTTCTATCATGTCATAGTGGGTCAACAGTACCAACAATTTCTCACATGCATAGTGACTGGGCCACTCCATTTTTTCAAGAGCAAATCTCTGTAAATATAATAAAAATAAAACAAGACCTTGTTATCTCTTGGAGACAAACAGCACTCTCAGGGTGATATTATCTTTTCCTTAAGAGATAACATTAGTTAAAGTTGTATCAACGAGAATATTCCCAGAAAGAACAGTGAGCCTCCTAAGGAGGCAATATGGCACAATGATGTAAGCGTGAGGGTTCTGGGTGTGAAGGCCAGAATATTTCCTAGATTTGGGTAAATAACTTAACCTCTTTTAGCCTCAGGTTTTCCCTCTGTAAAATATAATCCGGCACACACATTATAAAGTTAGGGAAGATTACATGTAATGTGGTAAATATAACAGCAAATTTTAAATGTTCAATGAATGTTGGTTGCCATTATTACTACTGTTGTTGGTAGAGCCAAGCAACAAGTAGTTACAATTTATTGAGCCACTCTGTTTCTTTAGCTACTATAGTAGGGGTTAATATAAATAATCTCATTTAATCTGCATAGTGACTTCACAGGATAAGTAATATTATTTCTATTTTGAGGAAAACACATATCCAGGGTCACATGGTAAGTGACGGACTGTCCAAATTTAAATTTAGGTCACTGATTACAAATCCCAATGCACTTGTAAACTATACTGTCTTCCATAACAATATACTGTCTTCCATAATAATATACAATAACAATATAGATCTTTACATTCTCTGGTTATTAGCATCTCTCCCCCAACATATCCCTGAATACAATACATCTGTACATGGTCTTTAAGGTGTCTTGTAAAGAACAGCATAATTGTGATTTGTCTTATGGGCTGCAAAGTATAGTTACTGTGTGGCAAAGGAATGAAGATTAGATATAAATGCTGAAAAACACATGTGTACTCAAGAGCCATCTATTTCAAACTCCTCTCAGTTCAGTCAAAGTGATTACCCCTTCTTATCTTCCTAGTATCCAACTCCACACTGTAAAATAAGAGTTTATTTTCAGATACCTGAAACAATAATAAATCAGGTCTTTGGTACCTGATTGCCATCACCAATTTATCCTTGTTCAAAAGGAATTCTTGAATAACCTAGCAAGAGAACAGAGAATAGCAACTGACATGTCAAACTTTTAAAAAAAGCTTCTGAGATAAACACACGGTTGAATTATTACTCATTACCTCATGGAATGGGAATCCCTGACAACTGCAAGCTTTCCTGAAAATAAGTTATATACATGTTATTAATACAATCAGGCAATTTTAGATAGACTCTAAAATCATCCATTTAATCTCTTCTCATTTAATGGAAAGTGTCCTTGTATAGTATCCTAGTCATCAAGCTTCTCGATGAAACATTATTAAATTACTATCTTCTAAGATAGCCTAATTTTTGAACAAAATCTAGAAAAGGATTTTGTGAAACGTTATTAACCTACATGGGGGAAAGTTATGCGGAAATAATTCAACCACAGGTGTATAAATAGGCCACATCAGGAAACAATGAGCACAAAAAACTTACTTCCTAATACTGTTTTCCACTGCATTTAGTTGTCTCTCGTGTTCTGTTCGGTGCCACTCACAAGGACAACAGTATTCATAATCATGTGGCTCACAATATCGATCAGTTTTACATAATTTGCATCCATTACGTTCATGATCCTTAGGTGAACCTTCATGGAGACACAAAAAGTATGACTTTCACTGCTTTTTAGAGTTACCTTCTATGTACATTTTTTTTTTTTGCCCTTAACCAAATTTTCAAAAACAAATACTGCCTAGCACAATGCCTAGCATATAGAAGGGTTTCAATACATTTAGGCCCAATAGAGTAATGAACACAATAATAATTCTTACGATAAAGTAGATCTTTAGCTATTACTATCACATGACACTATTTTTTTTCTGTAAATTACCCTTCTGTCTGAAAGTGTTAATTTGTAATATGAAATTATACATTTATAATAATCTCAAATGGAAAACTGTGGTGTATGTGGTAGCTACATACAAGAAAAACGGACATTATTGTAAAACATTATTTAGTTAATAGAATAATTCATGAAATGGTTTCTTTAATAAGAATATGAAAAGAATAGAGCAGTTAATTACCTCTGCTAGTGGCTAGCTCTCAGTTACTATATAGCTATTTTTAAACTATGCTTGGAACATAAATTCTGATTGTGGCCTGGGTGTGGGGTCCTAGTGCCCAGTAAAAGGAAAGCATGACTACCTTCAACACTTTTGAGAACACAAAGAACCTACATAACTGATATGACCTAAATCGTCATTTATAAGGTACCAAAAAAACTACAGAATGGCATTTTATCTATAAAAACATTGATCTCTTCCATGGTTTCATCTATCATTTTAAAAGGCTAATGAAAACATATTAAGACAAATAGATAAAGCAGAATTTCTTTTAAAAGATGAGCTAACATGATCTCTTAATCTCTCCTGAGAGCAAAGGGCCTTTTTAACCCAGTACATGTCAGGGACATACATGTCAGGGACATCATATTTTTATCAAGACTAATGAACAGGGTCCAAGCTACTTAACAGTGAACATGTATTAGAAATTAGTTTTAAGTCACTATCTTCACACACAATAAAAATGCACTATAGGACAGTTAAGAATTCTTTAAATATATGAATATAAATCACTGATATATAAGCAAATGATTTCACTTCCATTTTTCCCTAAGATTTATCAGTACAATTTTTTTCCTTAAAATGGATTTCTATATTGAAAACATAATTTTAGGATCAAAGTAATCTGATAACATAGTTCGAAACTGCACATATCCTATATTTATCATTTACATCACGTTATTTCATTCAATAAATATTTATCAAGTGCCTACTGTGTGTATGTGACACAACTCCTGACACTGAGGGTTCCCAATCTGGTAAGGAAGGTAGGTATGTAAAAAGTACTATAAGAACAGACATGAAAACGTAGGTATCAGACAATAATATCCTAGAGATATCATTCCCTATGTCTGCTTACCTGGATGGGAACATACAGAGCAATGAGCCAGTTTGCTAACAACTGCTGGTTGTGAATTAGAGTAACAAAATTTTTCATTCCACTGATTAAACCTTTAAAAGAAAATGGTATTAAAAAAAATAAAGAAATAATAAGGTCACCAAAATGCCATGTTCTCAAATATCAGGCTATTCTGTTCCTTTCCACCTGCCTACTTATTTTTCCTTTGGCGGTAAAGTTGCTGTCCCAGTCTGGGGACATAAAAACATAAAAAATTAAAAATAACTAGGGGGAAGTTTAGTCTAAATTAATAAAAATTGGAATGACAGATAATTATAACAAAATGTAATCTCATTATTTTCAAGCGTGAAGGCAAACATTTTATAAAATGTTGCCAAAAGTACATATTTGCTGAAACTGTCTCAATAAGAATGATTTGTAGTTAGCCAGGTGCCACATTTGCTTGCTTTTCCTTTTTTATTTTATTCTTCACAATTCCCAAATGATTCCTTAACTCACCCCCAAGCCAAAGTATACCTTTGCTTTTTTGCTTTGGAAAACAGTCATCACTGATGTTAATAAGGAGTTTATTAAAGTCTTAGATCTATCAGTAGCTTTACAGCTGAAAGAGAAGCACTAAAAGAAAGAGCATGGCTATTTGAAATCTTTCTCATGGTCACCCCTTCTTCATTTCTACCACTTAATGTTTCCTTTCATGTACTCACTATCTCATAACTACTGGAGGCAAGGACTATTTTAAGTCTCCCAGAGTCCTAGTTCCTTTCCTTTTTATTCATTCTATACTTTATCATCATAAATATTAATTTTTATAAAACTTTGCCCTCATCAAGTAAATATAACTGACATGCTTTCAAAACTAAATAGCACAGTTTGTAAACTTTAATATACTCTGTATCCTGTCTTGAATCCTCAGATTGTACAGTTAATTCATTAGAATTAACGTATTACTAAATTTGTGGCTATAGAACAAAGGGCAGTCAAGAAAAATTTTTGATCAAGTGTTATTAAATATTTGCAACATGTCAGACATTTCATTTATAGAAAAATATAGTATCAAAGTATTTATATAAAAAGTAATTTAAAATATAAAATTAATTTAATGTTAGTTTATCTTTATTTGTTGATGAAATGGTCTAAAATAGCCTGTGGCAAATGCCCATGGTTATAAATAAACGCATTTGATATCTTACTACTTGTGTTTGTAATGAGCTAATAATATTGAAAAAAACAAAATATGGCTTAGGACATATACTTTTCAGCTTTCTTTGGAAAACTTCTGAATAAATAAAATAACTGATTTTAAATAAAAATACAGATGATCTCAAAAATACAAAACCTTTTTTTGGAAAGCACAATACTTTTTGTATTCACTATTAAGTTCAACAAGAATAAAAGACTAATGTCACAAGAAAAAGTAATGTTTAGTTACCTCTGAAGTAAACTTTGTCCTTTCAAAATCTTTATAAGTTTTAATGCTTGCTCTTTTCCAACTCCAGGGACTCCCTTTCAGAAAGTGGGAAAAGAAGTTCAAACGTTAATCACTAGGGAATAGATAAATGAAGGGTGAGATGTCCATTCAATGTAAGATTGTGTAGCTCAAAGAATGAGGTAACTGTGTGCAAGACACATTGTTACGTGTAAAATGAAAATTGCAGAATAGCATACAGTATGATTTAGGTTTGTAAGTTAAATAACAATTATATTGTTAACTTATGCAAACAAAAAAACCACTGACTGTTTATTTTAGGAGAGGGAGGAACAGAATTTTAGAGGGCTTTCATTATCTATGTTAATTATTCTGATAGTATTTTAATTTGACCTAACTTTCTGTTATATTTGTAATCAGGAAAAGGCATGTTCATTTGATTATATGAACATATAATATTTAAAGATCCAAACAACCAAAGAGAACAAAGGAGAATTCCAAGTTAACTCTTGAAATTAATAACTTAAGAAAATTAAAATAAGCATTAAGTTTCCTACACAAAAAATATATAAATAAATGTATATTCACATGACAATTTCTGGTTTACACTGAGTCTTCCAGTTCCTATAACAGTTTATTAATATGTCTTTGTAAGCAAGGCTGTTCTTTAGCCGATATGCATCAGGAGAGACATACCAGTGTTAAAATACTTCTAAACTTGTTAGTAAATAGCCAATGCCCATGTACCCTGAGCGCCTGCCAGCAAAGGGGTCTCCCCCTTAAAATGAATTCCCTTTCCAACCCACCTACACTCAGAATTCAGCTAAAAGGGTAACACATAGCACAACAGAGGGTATCCAGAAGCATTTTCCATCTCTACAGCCTATGTCTTTAGTAAAACAGTTGCTGGATATTTTGTATGTCACCCTTCATGTATTAGCATTTAGTTATATATTAAATTTTTTTAAGCAAATCATGATAGTAGAGTCTTAAAGATCAATAAGTACAATGATATAAATAGATAGCAGTTTTGGTTGCAAAGAAACAAAAAATCAAAATAGGTAAGGCTAGTGTGTAATACCACTGCAGCTAAAATTGGTTTCTGTGAGTTCAAGTTTGCAAAGTTTTTCTTATATTCAACACTGAGCTGTTTTTAGACTTTAATTATGATACAATTACATATGGGAAACAAATCTATTTCAGAATGAGAACTATAATAATTATTTTCTATGTTGTTTAACAGTTCTTTTCCTCCTGTTTTCTTTTTTTACTAGTTAAAAAAAATTGTTGATTTCTCTATTTGGTCACTGGTGACACAGATTAGAAATTAGAGTTAATAATTTTACTATCCTACTATTTTTTCCTCTCCCAAGCTCTAGTGAAAAAAAATTATATGTCATCCTTCTTTAGACTTCTCTTGGGGATAGAGTCTATAGTATAATGAGGGGTTTAGTAAGGATACAAAGATGATCAGCAGGGACATAATAACAGGACTATATAAAAATAGTAGGAGCTACAATACAAGTCATTTTATATATTTAAACATCATATTTATGAATGTGGTTATCACGGTAATTTTAATTCATCCCTCACCTATTATACCTGTTACAGAGAACTATACTGTGTATCTCTTTTTTTTTGTTCTTGTTTTTTTTTGTTTTTTTTTCGGTACGCGGGCCTCTCACTGTTGTGGCCTCTCCAGCTGTGGAGCACAGGCTCTGGACGCACAGGCTCAGCAGCCATGGCTCACGGGCCCAGCCGCTCCCCGGCATGTGGGATCTTCCTGGACCGGGGCACGAACCCGTGTCCCCTGCATCGGCAGGCGGACTCTCAACCACTGCGCCACCAGGGAAGCCCTATGTTGTGTATCTTAAGATATAAAATAAAAGGTTTTCATGAGCAAAACTCAATGCAATGCTAAGAGGCATGGAAGGATGAATGGCTTAACCCAACAATCATGTTGCGTAGCAACAGTAACAATAACACTGAGCATAACACTGAGCATGTGCACAAATAGCTAAAATGGAGATGCAAAACTCAGACAACAGTGATAGAAACTAATATTGGCACAAGACAAGGAAAGAGTAATTCCTACATTTCTCTAAAAGGATAGTCAAACGTGAATGTGTATCTCTTAGAGGAATGGTTTACTGAGATTTAAGCTGTGGTACTAGTTATGATTCTATTCTCATTTATAACATTCAGTATCATGATGAGCAAGCTGTTTAATGCCACTTGAAATGCTGATTATTTTAGTTACTGAATAGTTTATTACACCTATATTCTAAATTAGGTTCTTAATTATATAAAATGATATTGTATTCATATTTATGCAGCATGTAAGGTATCAAAAAAACCCCATTATGAATAGTAAATAAATATGGCAGTATACCTTTGGAAGATAATCACAGCCAAGTAGTATTGCTAGCCCAACCAGAGCATTTCTATCCAAACCTAGTTTACTCTTGATGTATGACATTGTATAACAGTCAACATGTGGGTCCTAGAAGAAAGAACAGATTCAGTTTCATCTTCAAAAAACTAAACAAAAACAACATTATAAAAAATAATTTGTCAAAGCTGTCTCTAAATGTTTATTCCTAAAAGTTTAAAATTATCCTGATCACCAGAATCTTCATAAAATCTAACACTTCAATATCTGGAAATAAAGTCATAGTTTCAAAAATGGCTTTAAAAAATTAACTATAGTAGTCATTTTTTCCTCTTTATTGTTTTCTGGTGTCTACAAAAGTAGATTTTCATCTTGTACAATTAAGCACTGTAAAATGTATATTATAGAAATTGTATATTATTGTAATTACATCATCAGAAGTTAACTATCATTAACAGCATCAGGCATATCCTTCTAAGAAACATGTTCTTTGACACATACATACAAATATTTATTACTCTATTTTTAAGTATAAATAGGATTATATAAAAATACTATTTTGCAATATTTCTTGCCCACTAATATAACTGGATATCTTTAATATCAATAATACATACCTTTTTAATGATTTAATGATTGCTTACAAACACTCTAAGGCAGTGTTTCTCAATGGAAATACTGGGAGCATTTTCAGAAAGATACCAGAATTTTTTTGGCAAGAGGTTTAGTCTCCCTGGCTCTAATCCACCAAAGGTCCATAGTCTCCTTCGCCCAACCTTGAATAATTACAACCAAAATGTCCCATGTTATTACCTCTCTCCATGAGAACTGTGGCTGTATTTAGCCATTCTCTATCAATGGGCATTTGGGTGTTTGCCAAATTTTTGTAATTAGTGACAATGCTGCAGTTAACATCCTTGTATATCTCTCCTTGCATATTTGGAGGTGTTTTTGAGGCTTACTAAAAGTACAAATTCTGGGTCAAGGCAATACATAGTGTATGCAATTTGATAATATATAGTTGAAACTGATTTAGAATTAAACCTTGTGAAACAAGTCAAGCCCTTAGGAGAGAAATCCACATTTCAAAGAGAATGAACTATGTGGCACTGATATTTTTAGTAACAGTAAACATATTACTTAGTGATTGCTAAGTGCCAAGAATTAATCCCTTTAAAAAAAGTAGTGTGTAAAACAAATGCTGAAAAAGAGAAAGAAAAAATACCTTGGTATTCATGGTGAAATTTCTATAAACAGTTTGGGCCCCATAAAGGAAAGCATCGCCGTCGTTGGTGAGGCAGCCATCTACGTAACCACTGGCATTGAGGTAAGCACACATGGCTTCAGCTTCTCCAGCAGCCTGGACCCAGGGAATTCCTAAGCATTCCAGCATGTCAAGACACTGAAAAGACAAAGTAGGTGCAACGAATATAAGAACATTTGTATTGCTGCTTTTTTCAGTGTTTGACTTACTTCTATATCACAAATATTAATAGTAGCTATTTAGGTGTTTTAAAACTTATTACATTTAAGAAACAACTGGAAACTTGAGCACTGAATACTTAATGGCAAAGTATTAGTATTCAACTTTTAGATGCAATAATAAAAATTATATTGTGGTTATGTTTTTATTTTTTAAGAGCCCCTATCTTTTAGAGAAAGGTACTGAAATACTAAAACAATATTATGTCTGGGATTTGCTTCAGAATAATGGAGGACCTCCTAGAGAAATGGAAATAAAAACAAAATTAAACAAATGGGACCTAATGAAACTTAAAAGCTTTTGCACAGCAAAGGAAACCAAAAACAAGACGAAAAGACAACCCTCAGAAAGGGAGAAAATATTGGCAAACGAAGCAGCTGACAAAGGATTCATCTCCAAAATTTGCAAGCAGCTCATGCAGCTCATGAAAAAAACAAATAATCCAATCCAAAAATGGGCAGAAGACCTAAATAGACATTTCTCCAAAGAAGATATGCAGATTGCCAACAAACACATGAAAGGATTTTTAACATCACTAATCATTAGAGAAATGCAAATCAAAACTATAATGAGGGGCTTCCCTGGTGGCGCAGTGGTTGAGAGTCTGCCTGCCGACACAGGGGACACGGGTTCGTGCCCCGGTCTGGGAAGATCCCACATGCCGCGGAGCGGCTGGGCCCGTGAGCCATGGCCGCTGAGCCTCCGCGTCCGGAGCCTGTGCTCCGCAATGGGAGAGGCCACAGCAGTGAGAGGCCCGCGTACCGCAAACAAACAAACAAACAAACAAAAACTATAATGAGGTATCATCTCACACCAGTCAGAATGGCCATCATCAAAAAATCTACAAACAATAAATGCTGGAGAGGGTGTGGTGAAAAGGGAACCCTCTTGCACTGTTGGTGGGAATGTAAATTGACACAGCCAATATGGAGAACAGTATGGAGGTTCCTTAAAGAATAGAACTACCATACAACCCAGCAATCCCACTACTGGGCATATACCCTGAGAAAGCCATAATTCAAAAAGAGTCATGTACCACAATGTTCATTGCAGCTCTATTTACAATAGCCAGGACATGGAAGCAACCTAAGTGTCCAATGATAGATGAATGTATCAAGAAGATGTGGCACATATATACAATGGAATATTACTCAGCCATAAAAAGAAACGAAACTGAGTTATTTGTAGTAAAGTGGATGGACCTAGAGACTGTCATACAGAGTGAAGTAAGTCAGAAAGAGAAAAACAAACACTGCATGCTAACATATACATATGGAATCTAAAAAAAAGAAACGGTTCTGAAGAACCTAGGGGCAGGACAGAAATAAAGACGCAGACGTAGAGGATGGACTTGAGGACACGGGGAGGGGGAAGGGCAAGCTGGGACCAAGTGAGACAGTGGCATGGACATATATACACTACCAAATGTAAAATAGATAGCTAGTGGGAAGCAGCCGCATAGCACAGGGAGATCAGCTCGGTGGTTTGTGACCACCTATAGGGGTGGGATAGGGAGGGTGGGAGGGAGACGCAAGAGGGAGGAGATATGGGGATACATGTATATGTAGAGCTGATTCACTTTGTTATAAAGCAGAAAATAACACACCATTGTAAAACAATTATACTCCAATACAGATGTTAAAAAAAAAAATGTGGGAGTAGAGGAGTGGGTAGGAGTATAGATGAAACAAAATTGGTCAAGAGTTGATAATTGTTAAAGATTGGTGATGGGCTACTTTTGTATTCGTTTAAAATTTTCTGTATGGAAAAGCTAAAAATTTTAATGTCAATTAAAAAGTAATCTATATTCGATTAAAAAATTAATTTAAAAAGTACTTTTAAAAGTAATGAATATGCAAGTTTCATTGTTTTGTTCAATGCTATTATCTCAAGAGTCTGGAAATATCTTGACATAATAATAATTAATCACATTAACATTTACATCTGTAAAACTACAGCAATCCTTCTCACATGATGGTCCTCCCAATATGAGCTCTTCCAAAGAAGACGCTATTACACAATTTTGGCTTGAGGCCTTAAAGTTCACTTCTTATCACCTCCCCTATACGATGAAACTCTCACATTACGGGGAGCCACACAGGGGCCCGTTGTTGGAGTGCTCCTAGTAAGTCAAATGTCTGTACAGGATGTTTATATCAATTTGCGGTTTTCTTGGGGTTATGAATTTAACCCAGCTGAGTAGCTTATAGTTTAGCTTTACAGCCTAGTGCATTCTTTCTTGTCATATGTGATACTCTCATTCTATCACTGAGGAATACTGGATATGGTGAGGAAAAGAGGCTATTTACCTAGTTTCTAGAGACAGAAAAAAGATCATCTCTTTTGCTTTAACTGACTAATTGTTTGCATGCTATATGATGTAATAAAAACCTCTGCCAGATGTTGCCCAAGGCGGACAAGGTTCAGAAGGACAAAGTACTATGTCAAAAAAAAAAGGTGCTTTTCAGAACTCTGGCTGGGTGACTTTAGAGAGACAGTTTTGTTATAGGTGCTGCTTTACTGCAACACCATAGTTGTTGCTAATTTACCCATACATAAAAAGTATCCTTTCATAAAAAACAATAAGAGTTTAAAAGTCATTTCAGATTCTGTTCCAACTCTTTTCAAAAACCAGCACAGAATTTGTGATGAGGTTGGTTGCAATTTTCTCTACCCTAAGTCTCTATCACATGGGGTGGAGGTTGTGTTGGAGGACTAATGTGTGCTTTTCAGGCTTGTAACTAAAAATGGCAGTAGATTAGGAGAATGTAAGGCTTAGTGACTGAGTGTACAAAAATATGATAATGATTAATGGGCAGGCAACACTGAACCAATACAAAATGCCTAAGAACACCACAATTAGAGAAATAAAGAAATAGGCATAGAGCAATTTTCTCAAAAGAACATAAACATCTTTTTGCGTTATACTGGGTATTTAATGCCTTAAGTATGTAAACCATAGATATTTCCAGGAACTGATTACACAAGAAATAATTAGAATTCAGTACAGATATTTTCTTCAATTACTGATAGTCATTAAGGTAGAATAGTCACTAACTGAAAATTATTATTTTTAATCACATAAAAATAGAAAAGAGAATTTCTGGAGAAAAATGCTTTTTAATTTATGCAATACCTTTTAAAAGAAATTAAAATTTTAAACAACATTAAAAAGAAAAACAGGGATAGGAACTCAAAGCAATATGATAAAAGGTTTACTTCCTTAGTATATAAAGAATATGAACAAAAGAAAAAGTAAAACCTCAAAAGGCAAGTGGGGAAAGGATATGATGGTCATTACCCAGAGAGAGACTAAAACTAAGTTAAATGTTTAACCTCACCATTAAAAGAACAATACATATTAAATATGTATTATATGTATTTATACGTATTATATAAACAAAGAAATGTCTTCGATTTTCCATACTAAATAGTACAAAGATAAACCTCCTAATATCCAATAATCTTGTGGGTGCAATGAAATTGCCTATTTCATATCTGTACTGGTAGAAAGTAATTGTCAAGAGTTATAAAATCACTCCAAAACTTTGGTCTATCAATCCCACTTTGGGTAATTTTACCTTAAAATCACAAGAAAAAGCTATGCTTCCAAAAAAATGTTCATCATAATTTCCTGTATAATAGAGAAGAACTAAAAAGCAAACAGTATACAATACAATATACAATCATGGGGAATGATTTCATACCTTCATACATGTTGTACCATCATTAAGGTAATGCTTTTGAATAGAATATGGCAACAGGGAAACATGGGTATGTTAAGTGAAAACTCCAGATAAAAATTATTTGTGCGTGATTACTGCAATTTTTAAAAACATATACCCTTAAAAAAGAGACAGGGGACTTCCCTGGTGGCGCAGTGGTTAAGAATCCTCCTGCCAATGCAGGGGACACGGGTTTGAGCCCTGGTCGGGAAAGATCTCACATGCCACAGAGCAACTAAGCCCGTGCACCACAACTAATGAGCCTGTGCTCTAGAGCCCGCGAGCCACAACTACTGAAGCCTGTGTGCCTAGAACTCGTGCTCCACAACAAGAGAAGCCACTGCAATGAGAAGCCCACACACTGCAAGGAAGAGTAGTCCCAGCTCGCAGCAACTAGAGAAAGCCCCCGCGCAGCAACGAATACCCAACGCAGCTAAAAATAAAGAAATAAATTTATAAAAAAATAGAGAGACAAGATAATAATAGCTTCCTATTGTTTTACTTACTTTATCGTATTATAGATTTCTCTTCTTTTTAAATTTTTATAAAAATATATATTTTATAACGTATAAATATATTAAAATATAACTGAGTACTTTTTAAAATTACAAAGCCCTAAAGGAAGCCAAATATGTATTCTGTCTATGAACTCTCATTAATCCTGAATGAGTAAAGTATGAATTAATGAGACCTCTATCCTGGGAATTCTTTAAGTGCTGAAGATGTCATAAAATGTTACATATTAAGTCCTGACTATGTACCGGTTGTTTTAGATATATTTTCTCTAATTTTTACCATACCCCTGTAAAGTATTACTATCCTATTTTACAGAGTACGAAACGAGGCAGACAGGTTAAAAATCTTGCCCACTGTCTCAGAGTTTCTAATGGCTAGTCAGAATCTGAACGCAGGTGAGTTTCACTCCAAAACTTAAACTCTCTTCTCTATTCACACTGTCCTTCTAGTCACAGTAAAGTTAATAAGTATTAAGGATACTGAATGAAAAACTTTATCAGAGTAAAGTATACTCTATAATTCAAATCAGAATTATTAGATCATATCTGAATGCTCACCTCCTTTAAGACTGAGTTAAAATGTGATCTCCCTGTTTTCTGAGACCATGTTTTTGTCGAAGGTCCATACCGAATCTGATTCCTCTTACTTATGACATCAGCTTTCAGCTTTGGGGGTTCCCCTTCCATAACGAACACCAGTTTTACATCCATTAGCGTTAAATATGAGATACGAAAAAATAGGTTCCTGAAATATAGACGTTAATAATACATTAATCATCATATATTGATAGCAGAAGTCAACATAGCAGTATGACATAATGGCAAGAACATTAATATAAAAAATGTTATATGCAATAACATTTTATTTGTTAAGATTTTATTTTAAGTAGACTGGACTGAGAGACCACTGTGTGTCTTTTAGCAAAGAAGATTTATGATTATTCTAATTGCTATGTGGAAGCTGGTTTGGAGGAGGAGGCCAAGAGAGGAGGGAGGGAAACTAGCGAAGATTTCATCTCAGCAGGGCAGATAAGAGATATTGGCATCCACTGAGGCAGTGCTTCTGGACATCGAGAGAAGTCTGTGAACGCAGGGTATATTCTGGAAGTAGAACTGGCAAGACTTCTGATGGACTGGATGTGTGGAGGACAAAACAGGGGGAGAATGGCTCCCAAATTTCTGGCTTTTAGTCATCGAAGCATCCTTGCGGATATGTTAAATAGGCAGCCAAGTATTACGAGTCTGAAGCTCAAAGGGTACGATGTACAAATTGTGTTATCAATATGGAGATGGCAGATGGAGACACGTTAATACATTTTAAAATCTCAAAATGTAAAACAGCAACAACAAAAGAAATGAAGTGGAAACAAAACCAAGACACCCACTGCTTATGCAATCATCTATTTATATTCTGAGCACGTTTACTCTACCTGAGGTGGGGCTTCATGACCGTCCCAATCATTTTTTTGACTGTCTGTGCTTCACATACCCAGAGACTCAGATCAACCGCAATGGTTTTCCCACCAAGACTGTGCAAGTGGACGTGTTGTTTAACAGGCTCCAGAATCTGCCACAAGTCATTCACTCCCATCCTGGTGATTATCTGCTGTTATTCGAGGCACCCTTTTCAAAAGATTGTTAAAAGACATAGAAGCTCAGAACAGAAATTCAAACAGTGTATTTTGAGCTACTGTGGGGTGATTCATAAATAAGAGTATTCTTATTTCTTCCACTGGTCAGCTCTTCGGAATGAATCAAGAACACCTAAAACATTAAAAATGGTGGTAATACACTTAGTGGCTTCAAAAACACTGACACAACTAACAGATGAAAAGTTATTAACAGATTATAGCATGCTGAACCTGTCCTTAAAATCCACTCATGTCACCAAATATGTTTCTCGATAGTACTGAAAAAATAGTTATTTTTAAACCTAATGTAACCAGTGTCAAGGGCTGCCTTGTCCCTCCTCATTCTTTCCTTTTTTCCACACAGTCTTTAGCAGTGGCTGAGAATAAAATTTTTCACATGGTCACATTAGTATTGCATGAGATTTGGAAAATAAAAGGAAAAATTACCTCCATCTCAAAAGGTGGTAATTGGCTTCTCCCACCTAATAAGAGCTAACAAATGCAGAGACGGGTAGAAAATCCACAGAGGTGGTAATGCTTGTTTGTCTTCTTGAGAATTCACTCCTTGATTTACATACCAAAGGGAGAAGAGGACTAGTCCTCTGTCATAATCAGGAAAAACAAACAGACAAAAGCAAGGAAGAATGCAAACACACAAACAAACAAAAAAACACAAAAGATTAAGGAAGGAAAACTGATGGAAAAGTAGGGGGGGAGATAGAAAAGGAAGAGTTGAAGGAATACATTATTATTATTATTTTTTAAAGAGCATTGGCTTTTTAAATTGCGAGGTCATGCATGTTCACTGTGGGAAAATAAAAAATCTTTTAAAAGAAAAATATTTAAAAATCACCTATAGTTCCACTATCCAAAGAAAACTGATGTTAAACTCTTTTCTATGTACATGACATTTTAAAAACAAAATTTGCTTAAACCCTGCTATTGTAACCTGCTTTGGTATTTTCTATACGCCAGTTTTTTCTTATTAAACATCTATAGCTGTTTTTCTTTTCCTTTGTTATTATTTGATAAAAAATATTATGTAGCATTTGCATTGAAGATTCAGTCTATGTAAATGTCTGACTATGTATCATCTGAATAATGACCTTAATTCACTCTACAAACACAAGGTAGGATACAAGACATATTAAGACAAAAAGCTATCACCACAATGTAAAGCCATTCTAAATAAAATGTAACTGTATTGTCTGTTCCTTTAACAGGGTCCATAGTAAAAGCAAATGTTTTCAAATTGTACATGGCTACAAAGAAAATAAATGCTGGAAATGCGGCTATCTGTCATTTTCTCGGAGCTTTTCTGAATCTTAATTTTAAACGTGGTCAGTGTAACTCTAAGTAGTACTTTGTGCACTCATATTTATGAAAAGCTGCACAAATATTTGCCGATATGTCACTTTAGAAGGAAAATTATAGATTTAAATATAGGGAAGAAAGCATTAGGTAGTAATGGTGGTTCCAGTGCTACTATAGTCTATTGCACATCAAGAAGGCCCACAGATTGAACGTGGGTGGCACTGTGACATGGATTCAGAGTCAAGATTTTACCTCTTTGTTAGTGAAAAGTTGTAGTAAATTTTGGAAAAAGAGCTGGGGGCACATGTATTCCCTAAAGCATTATTATGAAGGGAAACAAACCTTTTAAAGTGTTAACCACTAGGACTTCTCTGGTGGCGCAGTGGTTAAGAATCCGCCTGCCAATGCAGGGGACACGGGTTCGAGCCCTGGTCCGGGAAGATCCCACAAGCCGCGGAGCAACAAAGCCTGTGCGCCGCAACTAATGAGGCTGCACTCTAGAGCCCGTGCTCCGCAACGAGAGAAGCCACCGCAATGGGAAGCCTGCGCGCGGCAATGAAGAGTAGCCCCTGCTTGCTGCAACTAGAGAAAGCCTGCGTGCAGCAGTGAAGACCAGCGCCGCCAAAAATAAGTAAATAAATAAATTTAAAAGAAAAGAAAAAAATAAAGTATTAACCACCACAACATATAAAATTCAGAAATAGAAAGTTTGAGGGGGAAGTTCTCATTGATAATTGTGCTTTCCTTTTATTTGTGCCTCACTCTGGAATGTGTTGCTACTGAAGGAAATTAAGCAACTTCTCTCTGGAGGAATGTTATCATAACTGATCTTGGTTCATTTAAATTTGACCCTGACGCTAGCTGTCAAATTTTTAAATGCAGGTATCTTCCTGATTTAGCAATAGCTCTCCTAGGAATTTACTTTAAGATATGCTCTTAAGTGCTTACAGATTTATATTCATTGTAACATTGTTTATAATAGACACTGGGAAGAACCAAATGAGCACAACAGACATATCTTTAAGCAAATTATGGTATATTCAAACAATGGAATAGATGATGCAGCAAATAAAAATGGATGCATCTATCTGAACTGATGAAATAATCTCCAAGTTCTGAAATGAAAACAGGTACAAAATAGGTTATTTATTAGGGATGACTTAAGTTGAGAGATGTGGAAAATTACTCTTTGTGTTGTTTATTTTTTAAAATAACTATATGCTTGTATTACTTTTCAAATTAAAAAAAAAGCTAAAGAATGTGGCCCTATCTATAAAGGGTTGGGCAAATAAACTAGAAATCTTTAGATGGTTTATGTCTTGCCTAAATATTAAGTAATGAAATATGGACACAGTTCATGGGTCAATTAAAAAGCAATGTTCTACATATTCATGAGTACCTGAATATCGAATATGACTTCAGTATGTTATTTTAAGGATAAGAGATTCATTTTTTCTGGTTTCCTCCAGAATGCCTAGGAATGAGTTCTGTGGTCTTAGGCAAGGCGCATCTTTTCTCTGGCCCTTCCATGTCTAAAGTTCAATCCTTCCTACCATGTCTCTAATGCTTCATTACATAAGCTGACTACACATATATAAGTGAATAGTAAGAATAAAGACTGTTGCATGGTGCAGTGTTACCATGGCACACACAAACACATATTTATGTATAGGACTGTGATGTACATTGTATTCCTTCTGAGGGTGATGGAAAAAAAAAATTGGAGAAACACTAATGAGGTAGACTCAATCTTAAAAATTGTAGTCCTCTGGGCTTCCCTGGTGGCACAGTGGTTGAGAGTCCGCCTGCCGAAGTAGGGGACACGGGTTCGTGCCCCGGTCCGGGAAGTTCCCACATGCCGCAGAGTGGCTGGGCCTGTGAATCATGGCCGCTGAGCCTGTGCGTCCGGAGCCTCCGCAACGGGAGAGGCCACAACAGTGAGAGGCCCGCATACCGCAAAACAAACAAACAAAAAACTGTAGTCCTCTATTTCAAGCACATTTGGAACATTTTTAAGGATCTTAACGGAATATATTATTCACTGGGGCAGCCATGCCTGGAAAAATAAAAATAAACCCAAAACTGATTCTATTAATATTTTAAGATTCCCACAGATTGGATCCCTTAAGCAAGACAAAGAGGGCTTTTAACTAAGTCCATAAGTAATGTCTTTAATATAATATGATCATTATATTTAAAACTTATTCATGTTATTTTAATTTCTTTTGTCAGAAATAAACCTGGGTTAAAGAATGAGCATCCCAGGACTTCCCTGGTGGCGCAGTGGTAAAGAATCCGCCTGTCAATGCAGGGGACACAGGTTCGAGGTCCGGGAAGATCCCACATGCCGCGGAGCAACTAATCCCGTGTGCCACAACCACTGAGCCTGCGTTCTAAAGCCCGCAAGCCACAACTACTGAGCCCATGTGCCACAACTACTGAAGCCCACGCACCTAGAGCCCATGCTCCACCACAAGAGAAGCCACCGTAATGAGAAGCCCACGCACCACAACGAAGAGTAGCCCCCTGCTCACTGCAACTAGAGAAAGCCCGCGTGCAGCAACAAAGAGCCAATGCAGACATAAATAAATAAATAAATAAACAAATAAATAAAAAAGAATGAGCATCTGTGGTTATGTTACAGAACAACTAGCACTGGCAGCTGAAAAGATATGTACCTAGGACATCTATTTTGGCTATTCCTTTATTATAATATGAGCAAAGACTACAAAGCTGTAACAACGGCTGCTTAAACACAACTAGTATGAAAAATGCAGGCAAAAAGAAAAAAAGGTCTGTAACTAAATTATCATTTAGGTCCCAGAAAGTAAAAATTACTCTGAGCTAAGGTTTTCTCTTCTCCACTTTCCTTAGTTATGTGACATTTTCTAGGAAAAAAAAGTCTCTTTCATTGACAGTCTTCCTGGTCACCATATTTTTTTCTTCCAGTTTTAATGAGATACAACTGACATACAGCACTGCTTAAGGTTCAGTTGTACAACATAATGATTTAACTTAAGTACATCATGAAATGATTACAGTAAGTTTACCACATCCATCATCCCATAAAGATACAAAATTTAAAAATGTTTTCCTTGTGTTGCGAACTCAGGATTTGCTCTCCTAACAACTTTCACATATAACATACAGCAATGTTAATGATATTAATCATGCTGTACACGACACCCTTAGTACTTATTTATTTTATAACTGGAAGTTTGTACCTCTGACCACCTTCATCCAATTCCTTTTTAAACTACTTTGGTACCTTGACCTAGAGTCCCAATATATCTACTGAAATGCATTTGAAAAAGGTTAAAAATCTCTCGTGTCGGGGCTTCCCTGGTGGCGCAGTGGTTGAGAGTCCGCCTGCCGATTTAGGGGACACGGGTTCGTGCCCCGGTCCGGGAGGATCCCACATGCCGCGGAGCAGCTGGGCCCGTGAGCCATGGCCGCTGAGCCTGCGCGCCCGGAGCCTGTGCTCCACAATGGGAGAGGCCACAACAGGGAGAGGCCCGTGTACCGCAAAAAAAAAAAAAAAAAAAAAAAAAAAAAAAA